CTTGTGGAGCCACTCACCTCGCCGCCGCCTCGGCCACTTAATTGCCTCTTTCCAAGGGCCGCCTTCGGGTTTGAAGCCCTCCAAGACGGCCGCTTCGCATCGGCTCCCTTAGGCCTGCTCGCAGCACCTCAGCTGCGCCGCCATCTTGGAATCCGCCTCTCAAAGGGTCCGGGACTTTTTCCTCCCAGGCGGGCAAGGGCAGGGATTGCTCCGCGTCGCCACCCGCCTCCGGGGCGCAGCACAAGGGGGACCTCCGAGAGCGGGTGGGGGAGTGAAGGGTCATGCAAAGCGCTGGTATCACTCCGCGGGAAAGAGTCCCAAGGCTCAGTTCTTCTGACGCCCCATTGGAAGCATAGCTGTCCCCCCCACTCCAGTCGTTCCTGTCTCTCTGGTGCAACCTCCCCCCCCCCACCAGTTGGTTGCCTCCAGAGGGTTGGACTACAACTCCCATCTCCCAGGCTATCAGGGTGAGAGGGGAGTTACAGTATAATGCATCTACTCAGTCCTTCTGAACTTTGTAGGTCTCTCAAGTGCATTATCCCCAAACTGGTGCCCTGTAGTTGCATTGGATTGCAACTCCAATCCTGCCAGCTGTGGAGATGGGAGTTGTAGTCCAACTCTCTGAAGGCACCAATTTGGGGTATGTACGTTGCAAATAGAGAAACAGGAGCAACTGGAGGGGAGAGTTCAGCTTCCTATGGGGCGACCGAAGGACTGAGTAGATGCATTGGACTGGAACTCCGCTCCCACTTGCCAGCTGGGAAGATGGGAGTTGTAATCCAACTGGAGTAGGGGTCTCCAACCTTGGCAACCTTAAGACTTGTGGACTTCAACACCCAGAATTCCTCAGCCAGTTGGGAGTTGAAGTCCACAAGTCTTAAAAGTTGCCAAGGTTGGGGACCAGAGGGTTGGATTACAACTCCCATCTTCCCAGCTGGCAAGTGGGAGGGGAGTTCCAGTCCAATGCATCTACTCAGTCCTTCGGTTGCCCCATAGGAAGCTGAACTCTGCCTTCCAGTTGCTCCTGTTTCTCTATTTGCAACGTACCCCAAATTGGCGCCTTCATAGGGCTGGACTACAACTCCCCTCTTCCCCAGCTGGCAGGATTGGAGTTGCAGTCCAAGCAGGGCACCAGCTTGGGGATAATGTACTTGAGAGACCTACAAAGTTAAATAACGGAGCAATCCATGGAGTGCAACTGAGAAAGAAAACAGAATCCTAAATCCTTAAGTAAGTTCTTCAGGATAGTAATATTCATATGATCGGTTTGATAACAGAATAAGAGAGGTGGAAGGGACCTTGGAGGTCTTCTAGTCCAACCCCCTGCTCAGGCAGGAGAGCCTCTACTAGACCATTTCAAAACAAGAGCTTGTTCAGTCTGTTCTTAAAAACCTCCAGTGAGGAGCACCCACAATTTCTGGAGGCCAACCCGTTCCACTGATTAATTGTTCTGTCAGGAATTTTTTCCTTAGTTCCAGGTTGCTTCTCTCCTTGATTAGTTTCCATCCCTTGCATCTTCTGATGTTCTGACCCACCACTAGATCAAGACACTGGATCTGTTCCAGTGGTGGGATCCGGTGAACCGGTGGTGGCAGTGGGAGGCTGTGCCCACCTGCCCGCTTCTGTGCATGCACGGAAGCATCTTGTATGAAGTCATGCATACACGGCCACGAGTGAACCAGTAGCGATGGGATTTGCAACCCACTACTGATAGAATAGAATAATTTTATTTCTATACCGCCCTTCTCCCGAAGGACTCAGGGCGGTGTACAGCCTATTAAAAACACAAGACAACATCAGTTAAAATAGTTTAAAATTATTAAATGAATTCGGCTCAATTTAAAACCCCAGGAATTTAAAACCCAATTTAAAATTGTTATGTTGATAGCCCAGCCTGGCGGATCTGTTCCCCTAATTTTTCCTTCCCACCACAGCTCAGTGAGGCAAGTTGAATTGAGAAATGAAAACCGGCCTGAAATTACAAGATAGCGGGACGCTTGCTTCCTCCTTTACACATCCTTCCTCATTTGGCACAAAACCGCAATTCTCGTGCCGTTTCCTGACTTGGAGGTGCAGGAAAAGTTCTCGGGCCGGCCTTGTCCTCAGACAAGGTTACAAACAGCTGATAGATCAGATGTTCGCAAGAGAATCACCCTGCGTATCCTGCAAATGTTCTTGGGGGTCATAAAATTCAAGATAGCGGCCAATTTTGTCAGACCGCACCCCCACAGAAGATAGTGTTATCTTGACTCCTTCCTTCCTCTCTCCCCACCCGATATCCTGAATTGAAATTGTTTGCGGGGGAAAAATCCTTCTATATCCAAAACTAGCCACTAATAAGATTGTGACTGTATTTCTGTGGTTCTACAAAACCTATGAAGCAGGGGCGAAATCCAGCAGGTTCTGGAGAACCGGTAGCGGAAATTTTGAGTAGTTTCAGAGAACCGGCAAATGCCACCTCTGGCTGGCCCCAGAGTGGGGTGGAAATGGAGATTTTGCAGCATCCTTCCCCAAGGAGTGGGGAGGGAATGGAGATTTTGCAGTGTCCTTCCCCTGCCCCGCCCACCAAGCCCCGCCCACCGAACCGGTAGGGAAAAATTTCAGATTTCACCCCTGCTCTGAAGGCAGACTTTGCATGCAGAGAGCGTCAAAAAGCAGAAAGAAATGCTGTGAGATTGAAAATGGGAATTAAGGCATTTTTCTCTCTTTAACCAAACTTGGCATTCATATTCTGATTCACCGAAGATTATATTAATCTTGGGGTTTGGATTAACGGTTAGGCTGAGAACGATATTCAGGGTTTACATCACAACTAGCAAAGACACGATGCCTTGGGAATTCTCCCAAGTGCCAATCTCTGGATTTTTGCTTTTTCTTGAAGACGTTTTACTTCTTGTCCAAGAAGCTTCTTCAGTTCTGACTGAATGGTAGAAGATGGATTTATATTCCTCTTAGTCATCTGGTCGTTAGCACTCTCTGAGAGAGATATTGAGGCTACTTGGAGGCTTATCTCGGTGCACCCAGGGTCCCTTGAATAGGTGTGGAAATGGGTGTGGAACCTTCTTGGAACTGGTGAAAGGATTGTGTTGTAAACAGGAGATAAGTGGTGTCATTTCCCTCCTCCTGTGTTGAGACAGGGCTGTTCAATTTTGACATAAATGGCCTCTTTGATCCCTCTTTCAAACCAGCAACCCTCTGTGTCCAAAATGTGAGTTTTGCTGTCTTCAAAAAAGTGGCCTTTTGTCTTTCAAATGCAGATGGGCTGCTGGATCTTGTCCTGATGGGTTTGTTCTCCTATATTGACAGCTCATGAGAAAGGTGCTAATGGCCAGATGACTGCAAGGAACATAAATCTATTCTCCACCAGTCAGAACTGAAGAAACTTCTTGGATGAGAAGCAAAACGTCTTCAAGGAAAAACAAAGTCCACATGTTTTCTGAGGTTTTCGCGGGGTGTTTGTATGTAGGTCTTTGGTTATTCGGGTTTTCTCCGCGTAAAATTGGAAATGTCTTGGCGACGTTTCGATGAAGTCTCATTCGTCATCTTCAGGCTGGTGTTTTCGGCTTCGTGCTTCTGACACGAAGCCGAAAACACCAGCCTGAAGATGACGAGTGAGACTTCGTCGAAACATCGCCAAGACGCTTCCAATTTATGCGGGAGAAAACCCGAATAACCAGAGACACACACACACACACATATGTATGTGTGTGTGTGTATATATATATTTGCTTTCTTCTCTTATCGTAGGTTTTTGTATGTATTTTTCTTCAACCAGGTATTTTCCTACGTAAACCAAGTTTCTCAAATTGCAGCCATAGCTCAGTGAAATCAATAGGCAGCAAAATGCATGCTTGCTGTCTGAAGAAGCCTAGGATAGTGGATAGTGCATGTGATATATATATATATATATATATATATATATACACACAGTATATATGACTGTGGAGAGGCAGATCAGAACTTCTCATCCAGTTCATAAGTTTTTACAGCTGCGGTTTTTTTTTCCCAACCTTACCTGGAATTTACTTCCACACGACACTCCCCTCCCTACCCCACCCCCCACCCCCGTTTCAGCCTCCAAGTACAGAGGAAACGTCACTCAAAATCAAACCAGCTTTTATTTACAAAAATAAGTTCTCCTGCTTAGCCCCAGAAGCAAGCCGAAAACCGCAGCTCTTCTGAGAGGTTCCCGTGTTCCCGAGACCTTCCCTCCCCCCCCGGTTTATAATAACAACAGCGTTCCCCAAGGCAACCCGGTGAAGTGGATAGAAAAGAGAATTGTGAGAACGGAAAAAATTTTTTTTCAGTGCAAGGCAAAGTATTCCACTCAAAACATGGCTGACATGTTTTTTTTTGGGGGCGGGCGCAATGAGGCAAGGCAGTGACTGTGAATACTTTTTGTGCAAATGAGCGGAAGACTCAAAAGTGTTTGAAGAGTTAACTCACTGGCTGGCCCGCATGGACCAAACACCATCATCCTCTCCCTCTGTGCCAAGAGGAAGGCCAGGGTTGTGCTTCCGGTGGCTAGGAATGGATTCTTAGGATTTGATAGAAACACACACACACACACACCCGTCCCACCCCCAAGTACATCTCCCTAAAAATCTTTACCTAATACTGAGATCAAAAAGTGTGTGTGTGTGGAGTGGAAAAGTGAGGGCCAAGGTGAGTTGTGAACTGGGACGTCGAGAATATTCTGCTCGGATTCGACACAAACAGAGAAAAACCGGCTGTAGAGTTTTACGCAGCTTTTTTTTTTTTCCTTTTTAAAAAAATCCAAACAGGTCTATAAAAGCATCCTTCCGGAGAGATGAGATGAACGGAGACGTCGGGACAAACGGTCGCCCCAGGTTCGGTTAGCCACGGAGTCAGGCAGCAAGAGCGATTTCCCCTTCGAGGGTTTTTGGAGGAGTCCATCCAAAGTGTGAAGGGGAAGGGGGGGGGGAAAGCCCCACGCGGAATTGCCACCCAGGCGGGACACAAGGGTTGGGGGGGGGGGTAGGGTGGGGGGGGGGGGGGCCCTCAGGCCCCCACCCCTCTGCCCGAGGTGCTACTCGAAGAGCCAGAATCTTGGCCAGGAATGATAGCGGCGTTTAAGATGGGACCGGCAGCCGGAGGCGTGCTGATATTCTTGGCTTTGTTTTGCTGGTCCAAGGAACGGCCCCCAGTTCCAGGGGGTTCTGGAGTTTTGCTGGTGGTTTGAGCCTCCTCGTTGGGGTTAGCGGTCCTGGTTTCTGCCGTTGGATTGTGCGACGCTTTGTGTTGAGGGAGGACTCCGTTCTCCTGGATGGGAGGGAGGTCGGCATTCACAGCCACAGCCGGAGAAGTTCGCTCCAGTTTGCGATGTTTCGGGAGGGCGGCCGGGGGCGGTGGTGGGGCAGCGTCGGAAGGGACCAGAATGCTCCGGATGAGCTCTGTGCAGACGGCCGAGGCCTGGCGGGTTTCGCGGCACAACTGGGACAGGCTGAGAAAGCCGTGGGGCAAATCTTGCACCACTCGCAGAGTGACCGGCTGACCGAGGGCCCGCAACCTCTGGGCAAACATCACGGAGTCGTCCAACATGGGATCCAGAGCACACGCCTAAGGAGAAGAAATGGTCGGAGCCTGTAAATCAGGGTGAAATGCTCCCGGTTCGGACCGGATCGCCTGATCCGGTAGCGATGGTGGCGGGTGGTTCGGAGAACCGGTAGCAAAAATCCTTGCCCCCCCCCCATGCCCAACTGAGCCGTGCGATCATCAGAGGCTCTTTTTTTTATTTTTAAAAGCATGTTTTCTACAACCTCTTTGGCCGGAAAAAATGCTTTTAAAAGTAAAAAAAAAAAAAAGCCTCTGATGATCGCGCGGCTCAGTTGGGATCGTCGGAGGCTTTTAAAAGCCTTTTTTTCTACAACCTCTTCGGCCGAAGAAGTTGTAGAGAAAATATTTTTAAAAGAAAAAAAAAAAAGCCTCTGACGATCAGGCAACTCAGCTGGGATCGTCAGAGACTTTTAAAAGCATTTTTTTTTTACAACCTCTTCTGGGAGTTGAAGTCCACCCATCTTCAAGCTACCAAGGTTGAGAAACACTGGGGTAGGCTATGTGCAAGCCCGCTCACTCCCCAACTTCCACATCTACCCAACCCTACTCCCACCCCCTCCCAACCCACCCCCTTTCCCGGCCCCTGCCCCGGCGTGCTCACCACGATATGGATCGGAGGGAGTCCCTTCAACATTTCATCCGGGGCCAAAAGGGGCGACATGAAGGGGTTCTTGACGATGGGCGACATCTCCAGAGGCAGGCTGGCACCAGGCTGGCTGCTGCGTAGCGGCTGGAAGCCGTCAGGAAACATCAAGCTCTCGAGTTTCCTGGAGGAGAAGGCCTCTTGGTCCTGGTCGGAGAAGAAGAAGGTGGGCTGATCTTCGGGGTCTGGAGTGGTGGAGCATGAGCCTCGCTGGACATCGGGGGACCCCAAGAAATTTTGACACGTCTGGCTCTTCTTCCGGGAATCTTTATGGCTGGCAAATGTCTTCGATTTCAAGCTCGTCTCGGAGGCGCTTTTCCTCAAGGCTTCTGCACGGAACAAAAGAGTAACAGAGTTGGAAGGGACTTGGAGAATCCCAGGGTCAAATGATTCGCAACCTTCCCGGCGCCTTCGGACAAGCGAAGTCAATGGGGGAAAGCAAGATTTTCATTTCTAACCACCCACCGAGCAAAAATTTCCATCGTTAAGCAAAGCAGTTCGGTGAGTTTTGCCCCATTCTACGACCTTATGTGGCCGCCGTTGTTAAGCGAAGCACTGCAGCCGTTAAGTGAATCTGGCTTCCCCGCTGACTTTGGCTTGTCAGGAGCTCGCAAAAGGGGGATCATGTGACCCTGGGGACACTGCGACAGTCACAAACACACGCCGGTTTTGCCGAGCGCCTGAATTTTGATCACACGTGACCCCGGGGAATGCTGCGACGGTCGTAAGTGTGAAAAGCCGGCCACGGGTTGCTTTTTTGAGGTGCCGTTGCAACTTCCAATGGTCGCAAAATGAAGAATTTAGTCGAGCACCCCCCGTGTAGTTACACTGCCCTGAGTTTTGAAAGCAGCGGCGCCTCATTTCGGCGAGAGAAAAGGACAGGTCCTACCAAGTGCTGGAATTAGTAAGGCGTTTGGGAGCATCGGCACCAGCCGGCTACGGGACGCCATAGGGAGCCCGGATGGTTTCTCAGAGCTGGTGCCACGTCTGCCGCGGGAAGGCGAAGAAGAGGAAGGCAGGAGTAGACGAAGCAGGGGAGCTTGGCAGCCTGGAGCCCGAATGAGCCCCTTCTTACCACTTCCTGCACCTGCCCTGTTGTGCTTGCCTGTCTTGTCCATCAAAGAGCCAACCAAGGCGGACGCACCCAAGCGCAAATCTCGGAAGAGGAGGGCCGTGTTATGGCGCATCATGTTCATGGGGTCCAGTTTCTCCAAGGTCAAGTCGTCTGGCTGCTCGGACTCCATTCCTTAGGGTTGGGAGACAAAAAAAAAAAGTGAGGAAGGGGAAGTACCGTATTTTTCGGAGTATAAGACAGACAACCAGCATCTTGAACTGGGTCCAATCCTTCCTAAATTCCTCCAGTTCCGACACAGATGCTTGGTTTTCTGTTGCCAGACCCATCTTGGTCCCTTCTTGTCCCACCTCCCTAAATGTGGGAGCCCCCCCTCTCCCCATTTTCCCTCACCTGCGTAGGCACTGAGGCATTTGCACAAGACGCTGAGAGGCAGGAGCGGGTCCAGCAGCGTGAGAAGGCGCGAGGGCGAGGCGGCAGCCTCCAAGAGGGTGACGGGGTAGGCCGCCATGATCCCATCCGGCATCTTGATCCCAAAAGAAGCGGCGCGCATGGAGACGGTGATGCAGAGGTTGCCGCCGGCGCTGTCCCCGGCAAGGCACACCGTTTGTGCTGTGGAGCCTGCCGAGGGACGGAAAGGAAGAGGAGTCAGAACCGGGATGGTGGCGACGAAGAGAGAGAAGCAGAGAAACGAAATGACAGATTAACAGAAGTTGGAAGGGACCTTGTAGGTCATCTAGTCCAACCCCCCGCCCAAGCAGGAGACCCTACACCATTTCTGACAAATGGCAATCCAGTGATGAAAGTCCCACAAATTCTGAGGGCAAGCTATTCAACTGATCGTTCTCACTGTCAGAAAATTTCTCCTTATTTCCAGGTTGAATCTCTCCTTGATCAGTTTCCATCCATTATTCCTTGTCTGGCCTTCAGGTGCCTTGGAAAATAGTTTGACCCCCTTCCTCCTCTCTGTGGCAGCCCCTCAAATATTGGAAGACTGCTATCCTGTCTCCTCTGGTCCTTCTCTTCACTAGACTAGCCATGCCCAGTTCCTGCAATCATTCATCGTATGTTTAATGGTTTGCGGTCTGTGTGTTTGTTTGTGGTCTGCAGGTCCAAAACTAAAATGGTGGGCATGATCTTGTGATTCCAAGTATTGCCACTATGGCTGTAATCTCCTCAGCTATTTTGAGGATAAGAAGCACACCTGAAACTGATGAATCTTAAGATCGGAGTACAGACAGACAGACAGACACGTACAAAATTAAGATAAATTCTCTCAGGGTCTCCCTTGGAGAAAAAAAGGTAACATTCAAAATCCCCCTACCCTGTTTGTAGATGTCTCCCAGACTCCCCCACTTTTAATTACTCCACTTATAGGTGGCCAAGCTATGAACTGATTCCCAAAAGAAGTAGATTTGTTTGGACAAATATAATGAAATATGAGACTCATTTATATAAAATACAGTAGGTTAAAGAAACATATAACTATCAAGTGCATTAGAAATATAGGCATACTTGAATAATATTTGCAGCAGGTAAAAGTATATATAGAATATAGATAAGATAAATATTACAAACTATTCTAAAAATACGAGTTCCAAACTATTCTAAAAATAGATATGTATGTATGTATGTGTGTATAAATTTTTGTATACCAATTTTGGATAATTAGTATCATACTGTCTTATGATACTAATTTTTGTTGCATTTTTTTTCCACTTGTTTTTAAACCTCTTTGCTTTTTCTCTATCCTAATTATTACTATGGTTTGTTGCACAGCCAGCCAGATGTTCAGGCTGGATTTGGCAAGAACCTGGGATAGGCAGATGTGGATGTTTGATGGAGTTTCGAGCTATCGTCGTGGGACGTAAGCTGTTTCGAGTAAACCTGCCTTTTGTCATTGACCAATGGTAAATTTTGTTCCTTTTCTTTTTTCTGTTATTATTTCGAAAGCAATAGAAAATAAATTAAAACGTTACAGGTAGTCCTCAATTTATAACCATTCATTTACTGACTGCTCGAAGGGATGAGGCACTGAAGAAGTGTGACTTTTAGCCGTTTTTCACACATTTAAAGGACTGTCAGAGAGCATCCCCGTCGTTAACATGTTCACACTTATGGCCACTGCAGTATCCTCGGACTCAGGGGGTCAAAACTGAGATGCGTGGCAACTGGCGTGTACTTATGACGGTTGCGGTGTCCCGGGGTCACGCGATGATCCCCTTTTTGAGACCTTCTGACAAGCCAAGTCAAAGGAGAAGCCCCTTAGCCACCATGTTAAACCAGATTCACTTAACATCACTTAATCCCCTTAGTGACAAGAAGCGTTGAAAAATGGGGCAAAACTTACTTAACGGCCTTGCTCAGGGAGGGAAATTTGCCAAATTGTAGTTATAAATCAAGGACTACCTGCATTGATTTGTCCTCTTGTGCCTCCCCTGGAGGGAGGGGCTGCCCCCCCAAATCCTTACCCAAGAGGTGGCAGTTTTTAAGGGCCCAGCAGTAGGCAAAGAAGCATTCCTCTAACGCTCGTGGGAACGGAGCCTCGGGTGAGAGCGAGTAGTCGATAGAAAGGATAGGGGCCCCCAATTCCTGAGCCCACGATTTCAGGTAGGGCTCGTGCGACTTGGAAGTCTGGGCTACGAAACCCCCTCCGTGAAAATGCACCACGAGGTAGGGAGAACGGGGCAGGGTCTTGGATTTCCAGGGTAGCTCCAGGGCCAGCGTTCCTTCCGGTCGCATCAATTTCAGCAATTCTTCACTATCCTACAGAGAAGAAACAGATCGCAGGGTTAGATCCCACAAGGCTTAGAGCAGGCCTCTCGTTGCTTCCTCCCCAGGGATCTTGTGACAAACTTGAGCACCTGTTTCTGGGAAGCATTTCGGTGAGCTGCAAAGGAAGAAAACACGGAAGATTGATTTAATCAGAATAGAGCTGGAAGGGACTTTGGAGGTCTTCTAGTCCAACCCACTGCTGAACCCCCTGTTTATATATTATAAATAATATATTTGTTTATAAAATTATTGTCTCGGCCAAATTGTTTAATTCGGTTTTATTCTGTTTTTAAATGTTGTATTTATCTGTTTTATTCTGTGGCTGTTCACCACCCTGAGTCCTTCGGGAGTAGGGCGGTATACAAATCCAATCAATGAAATGAATGAAATGAAGCAGGAGACCCTATACCAGTGATGGCTAACCTTTTTGCCATCACGTGCCAGGAAGGGGGGGGGGCAGGGGAGGTTCGCACGCACGTGTGTCCACACCCATAATTCTATGCGCCCCACCCCATGCATGCGCGTGTGACCCCTCCCTGCCCCCCCCCACTATTGGCACGTGATGGCCCTTTTTTCTTTCTCACCTGGCTCCAGATCCTCTCTATGCATCTGGGGAGGGCGAAAACAGCCTTCCCCACCCCCTCGGAGGCCCGAAACGACCCATTTCCCAACTTCCAGTTGGACAGGAAGTGATGTCTTTTGCTGTCCCCAGCCTCCAGAGACTCCCGGAGCTAAGCTGGCGTGCCAGGCGACATAGCTCCACGTGCCACCTGTGGCACGCGTGCCATAGGTTCGCCATCACGGCCCTATACCATTTCAGACAGTTGGCTGTCCAGTCTTTTCTTAAAAACTTCCAGTGATGGCGCACCCGACAACTTCTGGTGGCAAGCTGTTCCACTGGTCAACCAGGCGGCTGCTCTTCTGGTTTCCGGCATGCATGCGCGTGCTCCCGTTTTGGCACTTGGTGCCAAAAAGGTTCGCCAACATTGTTCTAAGCCATCTCCTGCCTTGGGCACGAGGTTTCCTTGTTTGCCAATGATAAGTTTTGCTTTCATCAACATGCTTGGAACGAGCGATTGCTCAGCCTGTTGGAGCCGCTGAGGGCGGGCGGATCTGGGCCTTCACACCTGTCCGTACCTGTCCTTCACGCAGCTCGTGGGAAATGAGCCTCATCTGGACGGCTCCTGGCCCAGTGTGGGCCACCGGAGGTGTGATGGTAACAGTCAGTTTGGGGTTAGAAACCAGAGGCAGTTCGAAGGAATGGGGTGGGACCAGCAAGGCTCGGGACATCCGGACCTGAGAGGAAGCCATGCTGGCCAGCGACTGCAATGAGAGGACAAGATAAAACAGAGATTAAAAACTGGCCTCCCTTCAAATATCCGATATCTTTCCATAAGGATTCAATGTACAGAACTTGTTGAGTAACGAGGGACCAGATTAAAGGTAAAAGTTCCCCTCGCACATATGTGCTAGTCGTTCCTGACTCTAGGGGGCGGTGCTCATCTCCGTTTCAAAGCCGAAGAGCCAGCGCTGTCCGAAGACGTCTCCTTGGTCATGTGGCCGGCATGACTCAACGCCAAAGGCGCACGGAACGCTGTTCCCTTCCCACCAAAGGTGGTCCCTATTTTTCTACTTGCGTTTTTTACCTGCTTTCGAACTGCTAGGTTGGCAGAAGCTGGGACAAGTAACGGGAGCTCACCCTGTTATGCGGCGCTCGGGATTCGAACTGCTGAACTGTCAACCTTTTGATCGACAAGCTCAGCGTCGTAGCCACTGAGCCACCGCGTCCCTTAGGGACCGGATTAGGTCCTTCAGATATCTCCTGTCTTTCCTCTTGTCTGTCCACGAGGACACTTGTTTGACCTGACACTTGCAGATAGTCCTCGACAGTTCATTTAATGACCGTTCAAAGTTACAACGGCACTGAAATGAATGACTTATGACCATTTTTCACTTCTACAACCGTTGCAGCATCCCCATGATCAAAATTCAGACATTTGGCAACTGGTTTTGTATTTATGACGGTCGTAGTGTCCCGGGGTCATGTGATCGTTTTTTGGTGACCTTCTGACAAGCAAAGTCAATGGGGAGGCCGGATTCACTTAACAACCATGTTACTCACTTAACAACTGTAGTGATTCACTTAACAACGGTGGCAATAAAGGTCATAAATGGGGCAAAACTCACAACCAATGTCTCACTTAGCAAAAGAAATTTGGGACACAATTATGGGTGTAAGTCAACCTGTATAGTAAAAGTTATAGTAACCATAACATAAACAATAAACAATGTTTGTGTATCCTTATGAACCTCTTTCAGATCTGCTCTTTCTTTTGATTGATTTATTTCCCCCCAACCAAGAAAATATTGCTGGAGGGGTTCCGGTGAGGGACCCCCTTTTTTCCCAGCAGGACTACTCACCGCTAGCAACTCCGTCTCGGTGAGGTTCCAAAATCTCTTCCAGAAATGGACATCCAAGTTCTGAGTAATGCGTTCAAACTCTGATCCTCGCAGTTCAGGGTCAATGGCGAACTTCCCACTCATGAAGAGAGAGCCAGCAGCCACTCCTGCAGGAAGGAAGGAAAGAAGGAAGGGAAAGGAAGAGATGGATGGATGGAAGGAAGGAAGGAGAACAAGATTAGAGGGAGGAAGAGATAGTGACAGAGAAGAAGGAAGGAAGGAAGGAAGGGAAAGGAAGAGATGAATGGATGGATGGATGGATGGATGGATGGATGGATGGATGGAAGGAAGGAAGGAAGAACAAGATTAGAGGGAGGGAGGAAGATATAGATATAGAGACAGAGAAGAAGGAAGGAAGAAAGGAAGGAAGGAAGGAGAATAAGATTAGAGGGAGGGAGGAAAGGATAGAGACAGAGACAGAGACAGAGAAGTGGAAGGAAGGAAGGAAAAGGGATGGATGGATGGAAGGAGAACAAGATTAAAGAGAGGGAGGAATATATAGAAACAGAGAAGAGGAAGGAAGGAAGGAAGGAAGGAAGGAAGGAAGGAGGGAAGGAAGGAAAGAAAGAAGGGAGATCAAGATCAAAAAGGCTTCCTGCCCGATCCAGAGGAAGGGAAAAGGACAATTAAAAAGCTGATCTCACACAGAAATTGTCACTGAGGGTAGCTGGATTTGTTTAATGAAGTGCCAGGTGCCTTGCTTAACACTTGCAGTGATTCACTTAACAACCGTGGCAAAACGGTGATATGATTGGATGCGACTCACTCAATAGCCTTGCCTAGCAGTGGAAATTCCAATCACAACTGTGTCTGTAAGTGGAGGACAGGCAGCTCATTTAGTGACCATTCAAACTTACGACGGCACTGGAAAAAAAAGGGACCGTTTTTCACACAACCACTGCAGCTTCCTCACGGTCACGTGACCAAAATTCAGATGCTTGGCAACTGACTCACATTTATGACGGTTGCAACATCCCGGGGTCACGTGATCAGGTTTTTTTTGCAACCTTCCGACAAGTAAAGTCAATGGGGAGGACAGATTCAATTAACAACTCTGTTACTAATTTAACACCTGCAGTGCTTCTCTTAACAACTGTGGCAAGGAAGGTCGTAAAACGGGACAAAACTCCCTTAACGAACGTCTCAACCAAATGTTTCTTAACGATTGTGGTCATAACTCGAGAACTACCCATATATTTCAAGAAGCAAGTTCAAACTTCTAAGGCCTAAAATGCAAGGGGAAGCGCCTTTTCCCCCAGTGGCATTAATGCACTTCTAATGCCCAGTGGCATTAATGCACTTGGGGGGCTAGGATTCTTGTAGGGACCGCCTCACATTAGGGCAGAGATCTGCAACCTTAAACACTCAAAGAGCCATTTGGACCCGTTTCCCACAGAAAAGAAAACACCGGGAGCCACAGAAACTCTTCCCGTGCCTGACTGTTTCTTGAGTGGCCACAAAACTAGTGTCAAGTTTCCGAAAGATGCCCTAATTAATTCACTTCAGTTCTCCCTCCCTCCTGCTCATGGCAACTTGAACAACTAGCATATGTAGTTAAATTAAATGTTCTGTTTTCTTCCGAAAGCTTTCTTGGATTTCTCCATCGTTGGCCTACCGGGGAGTTGAAAAGCTCAATAAATTGCGTGCCGGTGGGTGTCACACTTTGGCTGTTGTGACGCATATTTTGAGTGATAGGGAGCCACAGCAGAGGGGTGAAAGAGCCACATGCGGCTCCAGAGCCACAGGTTGCTGACTCCTGCATTAGGGGAAGGGAAGGATCAGCAAGGGCAACACAACCATCATTTATCTCTTACTGTAGGATGAGTACTTGAGTCCTGATACTCACCGATGCTGGAGGTGTTACGTTTGTAATTCTCCCCAAAGGAAACCAGGCTGATGGCGATGGTTTGCAGGAAAGGCCGGATCGAAGGAGCAAACTGCAAGACCAAGAATCAACATGAGAAGTGGCCAGCAATCCTGGTTTCATTTTTTTTTTTTCATGACCACCCAAATCCTGCTTGCCGTTTCAACACCGGCTCCAGAACTGAATTTATACTTACTACTAAAATTATTTTATTTATTCGTGTCAGAAACATCACAATTCAAATAAGGCGTACTATAAGACATAACATTTAAAACATAAAATGCAAAATTAAAATAGAATAGAGAAAATATGGAATGGAATGGAATGGAATGGAATGGAATGGAATAGAATAGAATAGAATAGAATAGAATAGAATAGAGATAATATGGAATGGAATAAAGAAAAAATGGAATGGAATATAATGGAATGGAATGGAATAGAATAGAATAGAATAGAATAGAATAGAATAAAGATAATATGGAATGGATTAAAGAAAAATGGAATGGAATGGAATGGAATTTTTGATTGGCCAAGTGTGATTGGACACACAAGGAATTTGTCTTTGGTGCATATGCTCTCAGTGTAAAAGAAAAAATATATATTCATCAAGAATCATAAGATACGACACTTAGTGATAGTCATAGGATACTAAATAAGCAATCAAATCATACTAGAAAACAATAAAAACAATATAAGTTGTAGAGATACAAGCAACATGGATATAGCCATAAGTGGGAAGAGATAGGTACTTGTAAGGATGAGAAGAAGAATAGTAAAACAGTCTTAATTTGACAGTATTGAGGGAATTATTTGTTTAGCAGAGTGATGGCATTCGGGGAAAAACTGTTCTTGGGTCTAGTTGTTCTGGTGTGCAGTGCTCTATAGCGTCGTTTTGAGCGTAGTAGTTGAAACAATTTATGTCCAGGATGTGAGGGGTGTGTAGATATTTTCACAGCCCTCTTTTTGACTCATGCAGTATACAGGTCCTCCATGGAAAGCAGGTTGGTAGGAATTGTTTTTTCTGCAGTTCTAATGATCCTCTGAAGTCTGTGTCTGTCTTGTTGGGTTGCAGAGCCAAACCAGACAGTGATGGAGGTGCAGATGACAGACTCAATAATTCCTCTGTAGAACTGGATCAGCAGCTCCTTGGACAATTTGGGCTTCCTGAGTTGGCAGAGAAAGAACATTCTCTGTTGTGCTTTTTTGATGATCTTTTTGATGTTAGCTGTCCAGTTTAGGTCTTGAGATATGGTCGAACCTAGAATTTCAAAAGTCTCTACTGTTGATACTGTGTTGTCTAATTATCCTCTGAAGTCGGTGTCTGTCTTGTTGGGTTGCAGAGCCAAACCAGACAGTGATGGAGGTGCAGATGACAGACTCAATAATTCCTCTGGAGAACTGGATCAGCAGCTCCTTGGGCACTTTGAGCTTTCTGAAGTACAAGTGAAATAAGATTTTGCCCAGAAACTAGCAATGTGAATTGCGTTCGGTCGTGCTGCCATGAGATCCTGAAGTGTGCACGGATCGAGACACAAAGGGCAGCTATGCAATAGGTGTTATGGTCACCACAATCGGCAAAGGGCAATAGCCACCGGATAGCTCCGGCAAGGCTGCTGCAAGAGTGACAGGCAAGAGCTGGAGACAGGAGGTGGGGAGGGGGGAGAATGCAGGAACGTGCCTGACTGGTTCAAGGCCGGTTGGTCACGGCTGCAGCTTGTACGGGAAAGTGGGGAAAAAAAAAAAAATTAAACAGCAAGGTCACCGCTGCAGTCTGGTGACAGGGAAGACGACAGCTATGACGATGGGCTGTGGCTTCATAAGGGTCCTTTTTAATGAATTCAGCGGCAACTCGGGTTGTGTCTTTGTGTTGGGAGGGGTGGAGATGAATAGCTGATAATAAATAACATGAGTTCTGACGTCCGTAGAGCTGTGTTTTTCAACCTTGGGCCCTTTAAGAGGTCTGGACTTCAACTCCCAGAATTCCCCAGCCAGGCTGGGGAATTCTGGGAGTTGAAGTCCAGACCTCTTAAAGGGCCCAAGGTTGAAAAACACTGTTGTAGAATTAAATGTTCAGCGATCAGCATTCTCACTATGTATGAGTTGGGCGGCTGCATAAATTTGTTTAATAAATAATAATAAAATAACACTGACTTCCTCAGGATGTTTCTGGCCCTCCGGGAAACTATTCTGGCCCTCCGGGCAAAGTACTTTATTTCCTCACCCAGTCTCGTGTTTCCACAGGTTCCAAAAACAGACAAAAAAAAAAGAAGAAAAAGCAAACAGACTGGGAAAAGGCCACCAAAAATGTGTTAGCAGCAGGAAAACAAAGTCCAATTTCTTCAAAAAAAAATTCAGCTGGGGGTGAGATCAAAGAGCTTAAAATCAATCAGAATAGAGAGCTGGGAGGGACCTTGGAAGTCTTCTACTCCAACTCGCCTTGCTCAAGAAGGAGACTCCATATAATCTGAGACAAGTGGCTGTCCAGTCTCTTCTTAAAACCCGCCAGAGATGGAGCACCTCTCTTCTTAAAAGCCTCCACAACTTCTAGTGGCAAGCTGTTCCACGGGTTAATTTTTCTCACTTTTTAGGAAGTTTCTCCTTAATTTCAGGTTGCTTCTTCTCTTTGTTTAGGGTTAGCCATGAAAAAGCTCCTTGGGTGACTTTGGGCCAATCACCAAAGAAATTGTGAGTTCTAGCGTGTCTTAGGCAGGAAAACCAGCTGGGTGACTTTGGGCCTTTCTCCCTCACCCCAGCCCACCTCACAGGGTTGTTGTTGTGGGGAAAATAGGAGAGGGAAGACGTGTTGGATGTGTTTGCCACCTTGAGTTATTTGTAAAAGTAACAAAGGCGGGATACAAACAAATAAAACAACATACATACATACATACATACATACATACATACATACATACATACATATGATAATCCTAATTATATAGAATAACAGAGTTGGAAGGGACCTTGGAGGTCTTCTAGTCCAACTCCCTGCTTAGGCAGGAAACCCTACACCACTTCAGACAAATAGTTATCCAATCTCTTATTAAAAACGTATATATATATATATATATAAAGTGTTTTTCTATCGAGGCACCTGGTCTACCCCAACATCTGGGAGGGAGCATACTGCTTCCCTTTCGCCTTTCAGCACCAATCCAGGAGCCCTCATTCGGTCGCATTCACGACAAACCATTTTATACCAAATTTATTTTCGCTGATGAAGTCTCCCTTTATTTCTTTATCAGGGAAATATAAATTTTATCTATCTATCTATCTATCTATCTATCTATCTATCTATCTATCTATCTATCTATCTATTGGTTCGATTTATATGCCGTCCTTCTCCGGAGACTCAGGGCGGCTTACAATGCATTAAGCAATAGCCTTCATACTTTTGTATATACCTGCTTAGTAGGGCTTTCGGGGCCCCCTAAGTGGTGTTTTTTTTTTATACAAAGTCAGCTTATTGCCCCCACAATCTGGGTCCTCATTTTACCTCCCTCGGAAGGATGGAAGGCTGAGTCAACCTTGAGCCTGGTGAGATTTGAACTCGCGGTAATTGCAGGCAGCTGGTGCTAGTTAACAGCACTTTAGTCTGCTGCGCCACCAAGGCTCTCTCTCTATATGTACCTGACACTTCCCTCTAGGGTGTGTGGGTTTCACCTCCCCGATTCTGCAAGATGGCCGCCGCGCCAATCCTTACCTGAAAGCCCATGCAGCGCCCGTAAAAACACCCCTTCTGCATCGTGACGTATTCCCGGAGAAACTGTTCCGAGAGGCCTCGATCCTCGTGGTTGAAGAGGTACCCGGGGCGGTTCTGGGTCAGCAGATGTTGGGCTAAGTAAACCAAGGCCCGGAGTTGAGTCAAGGCCACACAATACGCTTCCAGCTCGGAGCAATTGTGGTTGGTACGGAAGAAGATGCTGCGTCGGTTGGCGGCCACGTAACGGCTCTTGTGGATGATGTGAGCCACGCAGCAGCGCACCGTCTGGGCCAAGCTGCGGTAGCCGTTGGCGGGGTGTGCTCATCGAGGTCGAAGATATGGTAGATGGCGGAGAAGTGGTCGAGCATCGGTTCAAGGCACCGGGCGTGTTCTCGGATGGTGGTGAAGGTGGCCAGGAAACGTTGGCCGGTCTCGGTGGGGACGTTCTGAAAGAACGCCACGTTATCCTCGGCCAGCGTGAGCAAGGTTTGGAAGAGTGGCCGGGCATCCATGGTGCTGGAATTGGGGGAGCCTGCGAAAGGGAGGAGAGAAAGGAATGAAACGGTTCCAGAAGGAAAGAGAGACGAGATGAAGGAGGCGATTTCGGAGGCAGAAGGACGGACAGCGTGGCCCAAACTCCTAACTTTTACTTACATTCTTCTGTCTCGGTTAAATACTCCATAAGGACCACGTAGCTCCTGAAGGACTCCTTGGCCCTACAAGGGGAGGGGGCATCGCTTAATACAGCAGCAGCAATCCTCAAAGGAGTTCCATCTCAGCCCCCCAATTCTTCTCCCCAATTGTCCACTCCTTTGAGGCTGGGCGGGAGGAGGCAGGACGAAGGGACCAAGGACATCATCAGGAGTGGACCAAAGGACATTTGGTCACAGAAAGGGGAGAAAGCTTCAACTTCAGAGGCTTGCAACCTCGACAACTTTTAAGACTTGTGGACTTCAACTTCCAGAATTCTGGGAGTTGAAGTCCATCAGTTGAAGTTTTAAAGTCGCCAAGTACGGACAACCCCCTGGCTTAACCCGTAACTCGTAATTCACGTCTCTCTCCATCTATTTTGACTTCTCTTCTTCAACTCTCCACAAAAAAAAAAAAAAAAGTACAATTGCCACGAATTTCCCTCCTGGGGTGGGGGGAAGGGAAGGTGCAATCCGCAACACCCACAATTTTTGCCAGATTGCCTTTCTCTTTTTTTTCCACCCCCTCCCCCAGTGGGAGAAAGCCCCCCACCCCAGTTCTCTCCCCAGCCGCGTTTCGGCTACTTAGGAACAGAAGTTTCGGTGGTCTAGTTTCACAGCCTGGAAGACCCTTCCCAGGCACTGTCCCTCCCTCTCCTCACAAACCCCAAAGAAATTTAAGACAAGACATCTCTGCGGCGGAGACCACCCCTCATCCCGCAAAGGAGACGGAGAGAAATGTATTTTGGATTCCCCCCTTTTTTTTCCCCTGAGTTCGCGAAGGGAGCGAGAGAGAGAGATCGGTGGGCATCTCTGCCCAGAGCGGAGACCCTTCCCCAAACAAGACCCTCAACAAATTTCCCCTGTGCAAGGTCGGATCTCGTCTCACCTCAGGTGGAGTGGGGGGGGGATCCTGCTGCAAGGAGAAGAAGAGGACAACTCACCCGGTGTCAACTAACCGGCATCCAGCCTTTCTCTGATGAAGGGATCGAGTTGCCTTACAATCACTGGCTGGCTTAAAACAACGCTGGGGAAACTGACTCCGCCTTTGGAGGATGAAAAGGAGGGGTCAGTCCAGAAGAGGGGGTGGGAGGAAAGCAGAAGGAGCACACACACACACCCCCCAGGCTTGCTGGGTGAAGGGGTACAGGCTAAACAAGATGCTTAAAATTTCACCCACCACGAGGTCTCGGGAGCAAGGAAAACAGGATGGAAGGACAGATGTCTCTTTCTTTCTCTCTGTCTTTCTCTCTCTCTTTCTTTCCCTCCCCTCTCTCTTTCACTCTCTTTCTGTCTCTCTCTTTCTCTTTCTCTCTCTCTCCCTCTCTCTCTTTTCCTCTCTCTTTCACTCTTTCTCTTTCTATTTTTCTCTTTCCCTCTCTTCCTCTCTCTCTTTCCCTTTCTCTCCCCCTCTTTCACTTTGTCTTTCTCTCTCCTCTCTCTCTTTCACTCTTTCACTTTATCTTTTTGTTTTTCTTTCCCTCTCTTCCTCTCTTTCACTTTCATTTTCTGTTTTTCTTTCCCTCTCTTCCTCTCTCTTCCCTCTTTCTCTCCCCCTCTTTCACTCTGTCTTCCTCTCTCCCTCTCTCTTTCACTCTTTCTCTCCCTCTCTCTTTCACTCTTTCTCTGTCTCTTTCTCTCTCTCCCTCTCTTTCACTCTTTTTCTCTCTTTCTCTCTGTCTTTCTCTCTCTCTCTGTCTTTCTCTCTCTTTCTTTCACTCTCTTTCTCTGTCTTTCTCTCTCTCTCTCCTTCTTTCACTCTCTTTCTCTGTCTTTCTCTCTCTCTCTTTCTCCTCTGCATGAACTTACTTTTTTCCCAGAGAAGATCATCTCCTCCAGAGACAGGAATTCTTGGCTAGCAGATCAACCTTCCTCTGAAATGCCATTTCTGGAATACATCAGGCACCACAAAGCTGGTCTTTAAGGAGAAATCTGGGTACCCATGGCAAGGTTTGGCGGGGCATAACGGGAAGCGAGAAGATTTGGAGGTAGGAGGAGCAGGAATGATCAAAGGCGGTTTGGAAAAGAAAACTGCCAGACTTCATACAGGTAGTCCTCGACTTACAACTACAATCGAACCCCAAATTTCTCTTTGCTACTGCCTTCCCCGTTGGCTTTGCCCTGACCCTGGGACATTGCAAGGTTAGCCATCACTGCCCTAAAATAAGGCTTCATGGTTCTCGGGTTGAACGATTCTTTCCCATCAGCAGAACTTCCATTTGCAAAGGGAACGCTGCTAGAATTATACATTTGCCCCAGATCTCCTGCATGGAATTTCATCGGAACCCGTGAAGTTGAGTTCTAAGAAAAGAGGGATTGTGTTCTTTTCACCACTACACAAACAGGGCCTTTCTCAACACCTGGCACGCTGCCTTGGCTCTTCACCCGCTTAGGTTCACGAGTCCCGATCAAATGAAGAGGAATCAACTTTTTAAGAGGGGCGTATACTCCCTCATGGAGGGGTAGCTACAGTTCGGGGGCTGCTGGGCCCTGTGATAGGAAAGCAATTCGAGGCTTTATACCAGTGACGGCTAACCTTTTTCCTGTCGCGTGCCAAAAGTGGGGGGGGAGCACGGGAGGGTTGTGCGCGAGCGTGCCCATAATTCAAAGCCCCCGCATCCCGCGCACGACCCCTCCGCACTCCCACTTTTGGCACGCGATGGCAAAAAGGTTACCGGTGGGCCCGGTAGGCCCGTTATTCGCCCTCCCCAGGCTCCAGAGGCTTTTTTGGAGCCTGGGGTAGGCGAAAACAGCCTTCCCTACCCATCCAGAGGCCGGAAATGGCTCGTTTCCCGACTTCCGGTGGGCCCGAAAGGCCCGAAAATCAGCTGGCTGGTGCATGTGTGCACGCTGGAGCTGAGCTAGGGCAAAGCTCGCGTGCCCACAGATATGGCTCCGCGTGTCACCTGTGGGACACGTGCCATAGGTTCGCCATCACGGCTTTATACAGTGGACCGAATGCAGGTAGTCCTCGACTTATGTCCACAACGGAGCCCTAAATTTCTGTTGCTAAGTAAAACATTCGTTAAAGCGAATTTGGGGTCAACTGTACAACTTTTCTTGCCACGGTTGTTAAGGGAAGCTTTGCAACTGCTCATTTAGTCACACGGTTGCTAAGTGAATCTGGCTTCCCCATGGACTTTGCTCGTCAGAAGGTCGCAAAAGGGGATTGCGTGACCCTGGGATGCTGCGGCCATCTTAAATATATGAACCAGTTGTCAAGCATCCGAATTCTGGTCCCCTGATCCAGCAACGGTTGTACGTGTGAAAACCATTCATAAGTAAGTCACTTTTTTCCGTGCCTTTGTAACTTGGAATGGTCGCTAAGCGAACTGTTGTTAAGACGAGGACTACCACACGGCTTTTGACCAGAGCAAATAACTATTTTGGTTTGGAAAAAGATCCTGAAGGATTCTTTTAATTCATTGGGTTTTCAATCAAAAAGATCCCCATGGGGATCGTCTCGACATAAAGTATACAGAATAATAAGAGTTGGAAGAAACCTGAGAGATCTTCTAGTCCAGGGGTGGGAAAATGTGTCTCTTTTACAACCTGTGGACTTCAACTCCCAGAATTCCTGAGACACCTTGGCTGTCTCAGGAATTCTGGGAATTGAAGTCCACAGGTTGTAAAAGAGACACATTTGCCCACCCCTGTTCTAGTCCAACCCCCGGAGGGCCTCCGGAAGGGGGGGGGAGGCCGTTTTCGCCCTCCCCAGGCTCCAGAGGCTTTTCTAAGAGCCTGGGGAGTGTGAAAAATGGGCCTGCCGGGTCCACTGTGCCATCATGTGCTAAAAGTGGGGGGGGGGGGGGCACGCAGCGGCGGGGCACATTGAATTATGGGTGTGGGCCCACACATGGGCGACCTTGCCGCGCTCCCCCCGCTTTTGCCACACGATGGCAAAAACATTAGCCATCACTACACTAGTCTAAACACACTACGGCCTCACACAGAGGTGGGATTCAGCCGGTTCAGGCAAACTGGTAGTGCCGTCCTATTTAAGCACGTTTTTGAGGTCGGGCGCATGGGCCGGAAGTGGTGCGTGTGAACGAAGCATGCACACGTGCGCTCACATTTGCGAACCGGTAGAGAAAGGAAGTGAGTACCACCCCAAACTCAGAAGGTGTGTTGGCCTTAAATAGGCAAGACAGGCCGTTTACTTGGGATCTTCTGGGGGGCAAAAAAAATAAGATTATGCTTTCTTATCCCACCTTCCCAATTTCTCACGCGGGCCTATATATCAGCAGCTGGAATGCCGAGTGTTCGGTGTTCACTTCCTTCCTTCGGCGTTGCAGTGTGTGTGTAAACCCTGCCATTAAAAAAAAAAAAAAAACCCTCACACAGCCAGTCATCCAGGAATGGGTGCGATTGTGATGTCAGAGGTGTCGGCCAATCACCACCGTGTACAGCCAGGTTCTGTCACACCCTACCAGGTGTGAAATTGTCACAATTCATGAATGAAAGGGGATGAGCCAACTATCGGACCATCCTTCTCCGCTGAAAGCGGCCGCAGCCAGACGAGCCAATGAGCAGGTTACAACACCGTCCCGTAACACAAAGCTCCAGATCGCCGATTCCTCCGAGCAAGAGACAGTTATATAAGCCTTGCGTAATGCAACAGGTGTGTGTTTTAACCCTAGCGCAACCTGTGAAATTCACCAAAGGCAGGTTGCTCTTTGAGAGGCACGCTGGGGTACCGTCAGGGTATCAAGTCTTCATCGCTGTTTACGATTACTCTTAATTAGCAGATGCGCCAGAAAGATATCTTGGTGCAACTTGTGCTGTGTGGGTGAACAAATAAAGAGGACTTATCTACAGAGAAAGCGTCGCACGCATCACGTCGGCTTCCCCAGCGATGAAAAGCCATAGGTGCTGAATTCCAAACCCCAGTAAGGAGCGCATATAACTAGAGAGCCACTTTGGTGTAGTGGTTAAGGCACCAGGCTAGAAAGTGGGAGACGGTGAGTTCTAGTCTTGCCTTAGGCATGGAAGCCAGCTGGGTGACTTTGGGCCAACCACCAGGAGATGGTGAGTTCTAGTCCCACCTTAGGCATGAAAGCCAGCTGGGTGACTTTGGGCCAACCACCAGGAGACGGTGAGTTCTAGTTCCGTCTTAGGCATGAAAGCCAGCTGGGTGACTTTGGGCCAACCACCAGGAGACGGTGAGTTCTAGTTCCGTCTTAGGCATGAAAGCCAGTTGGGTGACTTTGGGCCAACCACCAGGGGACTGTGAGTTCTAGTCCCACCATAGGCATGAAAGCCAGCTGGGTGACTTTGGGCCAACCACCAGGAGATGGTGAGTTCTAGTTCCGTCTTAGGCATGAAAGCCAGCTGGGTGACTTTGGGCCAACCACTAGGAGACGGTGAATTCTAGTTCCATTTTAGGCATGAAAGCCAGGTGGAAGTGACCTTGGGCCAACCACCAGGAGATGGTGAGTTCTAATCTCACCTTAGACATGAAAGCCAGACTTTGGGTCAACCACCAGGAGATGGTGAGTTCTAGTTCCATCTTAGGCATGAAAGCCAGCTGGGTGACTTTGGGCCAACCACCAGGGGACTGTGAGTTCTAGTCCCACCATAGGCATGAAAGCCAGCTGGGTGACTTTGGGCCAACCACCAGGAGATGGTGAGTTCTAGTTCCGTCTTAGGCATGAAAGCCAGCTGGGAGACTTTGGGCAACCACTAGGAGACGGTGAATTCTAGTTCCATTTTAGGCATGAAAGCCAGCTGGGTGACTTTGGGCCAACCACCAGGAGACGGTGAGTTCTAGTCCCATTTTAGGCATGAAAGCCAGGTGGAACTGACCTTGGGCCAACCACCAGGAGATGGTGAGTTCTAATCTCACCTTAGACATGAAAGCCAGACTTTGGGTCAACACCAGGAGGGTGAGTTCTAGTTCCATCTTAGGCATGAAAGCCAGCTGGGTTACTTTGAGTCAATCACCAGGAGATGGCGAGTTCTAGTCCTGCCTTAGGCATGAAAGCCTGCTAGAGGGACTTTAAAGCCAGTCCCCCCCTCGGCCCAATCTACCTCACGGAGTTGTTGATATGGAGAAAAGAGGAGGAGAGTAGGGTGTGTGGGATATATTCGCTGCCTTGAGTCATTTGTAAAAATAATAATAAAAGGCGGGATATAAACAAACAAAGCCATAATGATGTATATTCTTCCTGGAAGGGACGCAACATATTTGAGTGTTTAAGGTTCTGCAACCTTAAACACTCAAAGAGCCATTTGGACCCGTTTCCCACAGAAAAGAAAACACCGGGAGCCACAAAACCCTTCCCGTGCCTGACTATTTCTTAGCGGCCACAAAATTAGCACATGTAGTTAAATTAAACATTCTGTTTTTCTTCTGAAACTTTTCTTTTTCTGGATTTCTCCATGGTTGGCCTACCGGGAGTTGAAAAGCTCAATAAATTGTGTTCTGGCGGGGTGTCGCACATTGCCGGTTGCGACGCATATTTTGAATGACAAAGGGTGTGGGGAATATTGTGGGGGGGAATTTTCTTTGCAAAACTTTTCAATAAAAAAAAGAAAGAATCCGGAGAACAACACGAAATCCCAAGCGGACATTCCAACCCGCATGGAGAAATAACAGAACAACAAGGGACCTTGGAAGGGATCTTGGAGGTCAACTAGTCCACCCCCTTTCTCAAGCAGGAGACCCTCTAAAATTTCAGACAGATCCAATCTCTACTTTAAAAAAAAAAAAAAAACACCTCCAAGCTTGCAGCACTTGGGAGGCAAGTCGTTTGGCTGATTAATCGTTCTTAAGGACCCCCTCCCACTTTTGTTCCCAGAAAAAATTACCATCACTACCCGAACTGCCACATCCACGGGGACGGATTCCGCCGGTGCTGGCAGTTCCTTCCCCAGACGTGGAATTTGGTATGGGGCTGAGTCACTCCTTTGGCAGCTGGAAGAAAATAACAGCATTCTCGAGGAATTGGGGGGGGAAAACTCAGCTGGCGGGGGTGGATTAGGGCAGGGGCCGTAAACAGCAAAGGGGGCAGTGGGGGAGAGGGCAAGGAACCGACGGATGAGGAGAAGGCTCAATAACTTGTAGGGTGGGGGGGAAAGAGAAACAAACGGAGTTGGGAAACCTACAGAACGCAGAAGTTAAGCGAACCCTTCCCCTTGTCCTCAAAGCCTGGGACCCCTTTGCCCTTTGACCTCTGCTGCCGAGAAGGGAGGAAGGAAAGAAGCAAAGCAAACAAGGGCAAGACCGGCGGCAAACAATAGGATACGGGGTAACCCTGGACTTACAACCATTTGTTTAACTGACCATTCGAAGTTACAACAGGACGGAAGAGAAATCCTTACGACCGTTTTTTTTCACACTGACGGCCAATAAAGGGGGGATGTTTGCAGCTCAGAGTTGGCGTGAGAGGTCCTTGGTGCTCTCTGAGTTTGGTGGGTTTTCTCGCAGGCGTTGCATCGCCCAACCAGGTAACGTCATCGATGTTGGAATGGAGTAGGGTTTGAGGAGAGGACGACGAGGAGGAAGACGAGGAGGAAGAGGAGGAGGACGAGGAGGACGAGGAGGAAGACGAGGAGGAAGAGGAGGAAGAGGAGGAGGAAGACGAGGAAGACGAGGAGGACGAGGAGGATGAGGAGGAAGACGAGGAGGAAGAGGAGGAGGAAGAGGAGGAAGATGAGGAGGAAGAGGAGGAAGACAAGGGGGAAGAGGAGGAGAACGAGGAGGAAGACGAGGAGGAAGAGGAGGAAGACGAGGAGGAAGAGGAGGAGGATGAGGAGGACGAGGAGGAGGACGAGGAGGAAGACGAGGAAGAGGAGGAAGACGAGGAGGAAGAGGAGGAGGAGGAAGACGAGGAGGACGAGGAGGAAGACAAGGAGGAAGAGGAAGTGCTGGTCTTAGCTTGTTCTAGCACTGATGAGGTTACCTAGTTGGGTAATGAAACGTCTGCAAGAACAACACCAAGCTCAGAGAGCACCAAGGACCCCATAGTCATTCTCCTCCTCCTCCTCCACTCCCTTCTAGCACTGATGACGTTACCAAGTTGGGTAATGAAACATCTTCAAGAAAAGAACCAAGCTCAGAGAGCACCAAGGATCCCACGGTCCCCCTCCTTCCTTCCTCCTAGCACTGATGATGTTACCTATTTGGGTAATGAAACATCAGCAAGAACACCACCAAGCTCAGAGAGAGCACCGAGGACCCCATACCAGTGGTGAAATCCTGTTGGTTCTGTCCGGCTCGCACGAACCGGTAGCGGCGGCGGTGTGTGGTTCGGCGAACTGGTAGCGGTAGCAGCACACGGCTCCACCCACCTGCCTGGATATCGTTACTTCCTGGTTTTAACCAGGAAATAACCTGTTTTTGATCCTCTGTGCATGCTGGAGAAGGCTTTGCGCATGCACAGAGGGTCAAAAATTGGATGTGATGATGGCACGCGCGCACTTCCGAACCGATAGGGAAGGTAAGTAGATTTCATCCCAGCTCCATACTTACGACCGTTGCAGCATCCTCATGATCATGTGATCAAAATTCAGACACTTGGCAACTGACTCCTATTTATGACAGGTTGCAACATCCTGGTGTGTTATGTCCAGGGTGGATAAAAATCAATGATTTTTTTAAAAAAATTAAAAAAAAAATCAGATTTTTTTGATTTAAATCTGATTTTTTTGAATTAAATCGGATTTTTTTGATTTTTATCGAATTTATTTTAATAAAAAACTTTTGGGGTAAAAATCTATCGTAAGATAGTTTTCTATTTAAGATACATAAATAATTTAGTTTATTCAGCATGAAATGGAGCTTAGTTATGGAGCACGAGGCTGTGTATTCTGCAACACTGGGACTATCGGTGAGTCAACAGCGGGTCAAAGGAGGAGCAGAGATGACAGCTGCTCTTTAAAAATTATGATTTAAATCGAGTGGATTTAAATCAAGCCTTTTTACTAGTGATTTAAATCATGATTTAAATCGTGATTTAAATCAACTCGATTTAAATCAAATCCACCCTGGTTATGTCTCTGTGTGTGACATAATCACCTTCTGTGGTTTTCAGCCGAGCCAAATCAATAAGAGAAGCCAGATTCACTTACTTAACAACCGGGCTTAGTAACTGAACAGCAGCAGTGCCTCCCTTCAAAAAACGACGGCAAGAGAGGTCACGGAAAGTGGGGCAAACCTCACTTAAGTCTTGCTTAGCCACAGAGATGTTTGGGCTCAATTTCGGTCGTAAGTCTAGGACCACCTGTATTTTGGGTCAGGGATCAAGGCGCCGTGTTCAGATCCAGCCAGTCGCGGGCTCGGAGAGGGGACATTCTGTGCCTTTCCTTCGAAGCTTCCCAAAGAGAGCCTTGGTAGTACAGTGGTCTAAAGCACCCTGTTATTAAAACCAGCTGCTTGCAATTACTGCAAGTTCGAATCTCCCCAGGCTCAAGGTTGACTCAGCCTTCCATCCTTTCTAAGGTAGGTAAATTGAGGATCCGGATTGTGGGGGCAATAAGCTGACTTTGTATAAATATACAAAAGGATGAAGGCTATTGCTTAGCGCATTGTAAGCCGCCCTGAGTCTCCGGAGAAGGGCGGCATATAAATCAAATTAAAAACAAAAAAATTCTTTGCCTCCCCATCCTTCCCCATTCCGGGCCTGGTGAAAACAAGGCAAAAGAGCATCAGCCTCTCCTATGTCTCAGCCTGTTTTTCTTTAATCGCCGGCTTTAATTAAGAGGCCCCAGATGGCAAAGGAGATGCCCACGAGGCCGGCTGTACCAGGCACACAGCGTACAAACCTTCCTTTGTGGTTGCCAGCTGGGGTACCAGCCTCCATTCCTCCACCTCCCCGTGGGA